AGGGTGAATCAAATTCCTTCTTGCCCATCCCGGCAACTTATTTTCCTTTTGAACAAAAGCTTTGTTCTTTTGACTGTCCTTTTCTTTTGCATTACATTCATTTTTGTAATGACCAGTCTTGCCACAGTGTGTGCATATTTTGTTTTCAAGAAGTGTGAGGTACTTGCTTTTAGGGTCCCATTTTGGTGCTTGAGTCCCATAGCCAAGTCCTCTCTTGTTGCTACTGTGATGCTCTTGCAGCCAAGAGAGTGCATCAAAAGCCCTGTTCCACTTGCAAGTTCTGTCTAGTTCATGTTTCACCTTTCCTAGATCTTCAGTTTAGACTTTCATGAATTCATCTTTCTTATACAATTCATCTTTCATTTTTCCCAAATTTTCTTCTAGAGTGAGATATATGTGATCAGCTTTCTTCTTTCCTGTTCCTAGTCTCAGTTTTATGTTTTCAAACCTAAGTTCTAGGACATTGTTATCAAGTTCAAGAACTTGGTTCTTAAACTCAGCATTTGTGTTATCACTCTCATTAGCCCTAGACTCTAGACTTTTGCATTTTGCTTTTAGGATCACACATTCCCTAGACACAACTTCCTTCTCATTGTTAATTATCTCAGACTCATCAATGAAGTCTAGTAATAGCTCAGCCAACCTTTCTTTAGACAAGAATTTAATCTTGTCTTTGAGATGGAGAATACTTATCTCTTGTTCATCATCTGATTCTCCGATGGCCATCAGTGCTTGCTCTTCCTCAGCTTCATCTTCTGAGTCATCATCTGAGGTTTCTCCCCAAGCAGCAACCATAGCCTTGGTTTAACCTTTGTTCCTTTTTTGTTGAACCTATTCCTTCTTCCTGTTCCTTCGTTCAGCCCTTTCTTTCTTCCACTCAATTTCCCATTGAGGGCAATTCTTGATCATGTGATCAGTCTTACCACACTTGTAGCAACCCTCATTGGTCTGTTTCTCAGGAGCTCTTGTCTTGTTGAAGGTTGTACCTCTTGAAGAACCCTTTCCTCTCATCAGGTAATTTTTGAAATCTCTAGTGATCATAGCCATCTCATCATTTTCTAGATCTGAACCTTCAGCAATTCTGAGAGCTAAGCTTCTCTCCTTCTTGGGGGTATCCATCGTCATGGTTTGCCTTCTCATTTCATAAGCAGTCAGATTTCCAATCAGTTCATCCAGTCTGAGAGTAGCAATATTCTTGGATTCCTGAATGGCAATGATTTTGCTTTCCCATGTGACTAGCAGAACCCTTGTCAGAATTTTCTCAACCTTGTCTTCTTCAAGAATAACCCTTCCAAGAGACTTAATTTCATTTGTCAGTGTAGTGAACCTAGTATACATCTTTTGGATAGTTTCTCCTTCCTTCATAGTAAAATTCTCATATTGAGAATACAACAGTGTTCCTCTTGATCTTTTCACTTGAGGTGTTCCTTCATGGGCCACTTGCAAAGTGTCCCATATCTCCTTAGCAGTAGTACATCTTTGGAGCCTACTGTACTCATCCGGACCTAGTCCACACACAAGCCATTTCTTGGTCTTAGCATTTTTCTCCCACTTCCTCAGGTCTTCAGCAGTACAGTCAGCCCTTGTCTTTGGCACATCAACTCCTTCAGCATTCTTCTTTGTGGTTGGTAGGGGACCATCAGTGACTATGTCCCAGAGCTCATAGTCTTCCCCTATGATGTGATCTCTCATCCTGTTCTTCCACCAAGAATAGTACTGACCATTGAAAAGTGGAGGCCTAGCATTGGATTGCCCTTCCCAGTTCCCAGGTGGTGCACTCATGTTGTTCTTCTCCTAAGGTGTTAGCCTCTTCAAGGATAACCTGCTCTGATACCAATTGATGTTCTAAACGTCAATACCACACAAGTGGGGGTGATTTGTGTGGTACCCAACTTTCTCTCTAGAAGAACCTGGTTCTTCTAGGTGTACTTACTACTACTGTTTGCAGAATTAAGAGTACATAAAATAAAGAACACAGAGATTTTTGCGTGGAAAACACCTGGCTCAAAAGGTGAAAAAAACCACGACCTACTAATCAGTAGGATTTTCCCAAACTTTCACTAAAATCACTGAGCCAAAACAGCATTTACAAAACTCTTGTAAACCTAAGGATTAAACTCTAATCCCAGTGTGGCACACAGCTTCAACTGTTGCGACACCTTCAAGTTAGCCTATAACTTGAATACTCAAAGTACCTATTACAATTGCTTCTACAAAAACTGGAAAGGTACAACTTTAAACTACCAACTACAATTGAACTAGAATAAGAATAAATACAATAGAATTGGTTCTTCTATCTTGTTCAAGTAGCTTCAGGAATGGACACTTGAATCTTACATAAATTTCTTGCAAAATTGCCTCGCTCTTTTGCTGTCAATTTAGTTTAACTTCTGCGTTTGTGCAATACCTGTAAAAGAGAACAATCACTATTATTTAATGAGTTAGTAATCAGAGTTTGATTGAGATCAATTGTTGATCTTCCATCGAAGTTGAGTCCTTGAACAATACAAACTCCAACCTTATCCTTTATCTGGATTGTGTCCTCTTCCCATGAGGATACTTTCTCTCCTCATTCAATATGCAAACTTTTCGATTTGTTCAGGAGATATTGCTGCTTGATCACTGAGACTTATCTCTTTCACGTGTATCTCACATGTCTAGGTTGATAAATACTGTGCCTCACATGATGGACCTAGTCCATAACTGAGTTCATTTGTCATTCTTCAAAACTTCACCTGAACTTGGGCCAACATATTGTAAAATTTATAGAGAAATCCAGTGTAAAAGAGTTTTAGTAAAAAGGTCAAAATCACATGAAAACAAGGAAGCCCCAAACTCAATTCAGAGTCTTGGAGTTGGTCTAAAGGAATTAGGGGTTTTGAAATAAAACCCTAGTTCAATCAAATCCCACAATTAAACATGGCGGAATCCCCAAATTATAGGGTTTCCACCTTGAATTAAGTACAGAGATGAGAAGGCAAGTAGTCAAAACAGGCTCAGAGGTTTCAGAACTGAAACCTCTTGCATGTTCCTTTCAGCAGCAGAAACTCATAAGAAAACATGATAGCAGAACACAATATAAGCATTCAAGGAAAAATAAAGGAAAAATACTGATAGGAACAGTAGAAGAAACATGCTTAAAGAGGTTTTCTAGAAGAACTTTGAAAGGGCTCAGTAGAAGGAAAATAGTAAAACAATTAAGAACACAATAGAAAAATATAGTAGGCGAGACATAACAGAACATGGTAGAAAAGCATACACAAACATAGTATAGAAAACATAGTAGAAGAACATACGAGAACATGGAAGAAAAAAAAAAGCACAAGAACACAGTAAAAGCATACGAGATCATAATATAGGAAAGCACAGTAAGAGAAGCATATAAGAACATGATACAAGGACACAGTAGACTCAAATACACACGCATGACAAAGAAAACTCATAAAAACACTTAAAACACTTTTCAGAAAACCCTAAATCTGAAAAGAAAGGTTCTGAAAGTGATTTTTGAAAGAAAAGTTAGAGAAATCGTTTGAAAACTTAGGGAAAGCATAGATACACAATGGATCTAAAGAAATCAGAGAGAACCTCGAAGGGTTAGGGTTTTAGAAGAACCCTAGAAATGAGAAAGGCTTTGAAAAGGTCACAGATCTGCGTCGAAGAGGTCAGAAACAGACTCAAACAACCATGGTACGCCGGAGCAAGGCCAGAGGTGACCCTGAGACCTCGAATCGACGCTGTTCTGGGTTCAACCCTTCATAGTCAAGCCTTGAGTCTTCAGGTATCAGCCACGTAAGAGCACCAGGAGGTAGGTGTAAGACTCATATAGCTTTGATGGCCATAGATTCCAGTGGATTTCAGAGCGGATGTGGATAGGGTTAGAGAAGGTTGAAGAGTGTTTGAGAGAGGGGAGGGTTTCAGAGGCGGCGGATAATTAAAAATGATTTAGGGTTGGGGGTTTGGTAAATTAAAAAAAGGAAAGAATGCGTGTGAGCCGTTGATTTGTTAGATCAACGGCTATGATTAAAAGAAGAGGTCCGGGCGGGTTATTTGAGTGGTTTAGGGGAGGGTAATTTATGAATTGGGCCGGGTAATTTGGGATTGGGATTGGGTTTAATGGGGGCTAATTTAGGCTAAAATTGAAATAATTAGGGCTAGTATTTAAATAGCCATTTTCTCCTTTTTATTTTATAAAAATAGTAAAATAATTTCTGGAAACAAATTAAAAGTTCTAAATTAATTAATAATATGTAAATATTAAATTAAAAATACTGGAATCAAATTTGTAATTATAAACGCAATTAATCTTAAGATATGCTAAAATTGCAAATATGTGCAATTTAATTTTAAAATACTCAATACATTTGTAAAAAAATGTGCAAACAATTACCTTAGCTATATTTTGGTATAAATATAAGAATAAAATAATTTAATCACCAGAAATGATGATTTGAGAAATCATTATTGGTTTTTGTAATACTAAAATAGGGCAATAAATTGATTTAGAAATCTTTTAAAAATTAGAAAAAATACTAAAATATTTGGACACACTTATATATGCATATATATGTTACTTTGAAAGGTATTTTGCATATAAAAATATACAGAACAAAATTGGGTATCAACACTCCCATTCTTTGTCATCCAAGTCGACAACTAAGTTTATACCTGGTAAATTTCTTATTTCTGATGGAACAGTAGATGTGTTTGAGTCACAGTGAACATGTTTTTTTATTATTTTTTGCCTTGCCTTCTTTCAACCTGATAGTCTCTTTATCTTGTGAAGACTGTTTACCCTTCTCTATTTGTATGTTAGTAGCCTTCTTCCTTTCTTGCCCTTCTATTGTACCAATTCCAGTAAAAGTATTCTGCTTCCCCTCATCCTGTACATTTAGAGATTTTGGATTTTCATAAATCTGCATATTGTCCCTAATTTCTGCTAAAGATTGATCATTTTGTTTGCTTGTCGATATAGAGACAATATTCTTCTTGCTATTGTTCTAGGCATGTTTGAACTTGACTTTGCTTTTCTTCTTTGGCATCTTTTTGGCTTTCTTATTTTTAGTTTTCTTCTTCATACTTTTCTCCTCCTTGTTTTTAATGATCTTATTATCATCTAGTCCATCTTCCTGTTGCTTTTTTTCAATGTCGACACTGTGTGAGTCTGCTTGAATTGTCTCCTCTATGCCTTCATTGTTGTTTCCCTTCATTTTGTTCATAGATTGTGCATCCTCATTATTTTTGGTAATCTTGTCACCTTCACCCTCCTCCTTCTCTTGAGCAGCCTTTTCCTTTTCTAGAGACCTACAATTAACTATGTAGTGACCCACTTTTTGACAATATTTACCATACTTCGGCACATGACCTTCATATTCTAATTTTTGAGTATAACCTTTTAGCGGTGAATCGTCAAATTCCTGTCCCACAAATACACTTTGTGGTAACGGCTTAAGCAAATCGACCTCCACTCTAATTTTGGCCATACTTGGCCTAGTTATTCCCATTGTAGCAACATCTAGGGCAAGTGGAGAACCAACGAAGCTCAAAAGCTGCTTAATATAATGCCAATCGTGCATATGATATGGTAAAGCGGGCAAGAGAACCCAGGCTGGAGCGACTGGTAAGTACTCTTCTGGCTTGAAGTCCGGCCACCGCTTTTGTAGCCACATTTGCATTTCATCTATTTTAATTACCCTTCGGAACCATACTGTTTCCAGTCGTCTTCATTAAAGAGATCAATGAAGACATTATGATTATCATAGACCCATATTCTGACCGTCCCTTTTAAGGGAATAATTTCCCTAAATCTCGACCTAATTCGATTAATTTGGGGGCGTGGTCTAAGAAATCTACCCATAATAGTATACTTACAAGAATCTGCCATTATGCCATAGTAGTCATTAGCTTTGAAAATCACCATCAGCATTCCGTTGTGAGTCGTATATCTTGCAATAACTTTTTCTTTTTCTTGCCGGTTTTACCTTGGGTTGGGGATCTGAGAAGATGAAGATGGGGCGCTAATGGTGTTAGCATAGGAAATATTTTCTTGTTTTGTGACTTCTTTGGGAGCTATTTTGCCTGATGGGGGCGATTGAACCGCCGTACGCGCCGGAGGGATGCCTCCCGATGGCTCCATCTTGTGGAGCATGACCCGTACGCGTTAGAATAGGGGAGCTAAAGAGCCGTTGTAGAGAGAATCTTTTTAGAGAGATATTAGAATTTTTGCGCATCTATTCAACATGCCTAATCTTTCTCTAAAGTGGGGTGGACTGCATTAGGCTGGTTTCTCAGATTAACTTTTCTCGTAAGATTTAGTGCTTTATTTTATGATGGTTTATATTTTTATTGTGGGGAGAATACCTTACCACCCTCCTAAACTTGACGCGGATTATTAGTTACAGCACTAAAATATCCATAATCTTAATTACCCCCTTCAACTTTGCCTTTTGAGAGCCATTACCCCCAAGACGCTGATGTGGCAAAAAAATGTGGGTGCACTCGCCTGCTGCATGGATTTTTCTGTATATATGGCATTTTTTTCAAAAAATAAAATATATCTTTACCTTTATAAGTATGTTACTTTTTTAGACAATTTTTTTCGAATACAATTTATAATAAACTTGGATAGAACTACATAATTTATGCTAAATTTTCTTATTTGGCTAAAAATAATGAAGTTTTAGTTAATCTTATTTTAAATTTGACCTGAAAATAAACTTTTATACAATTGAAAGAAATAGTCAAGGCATATACAAAGTTATAAAAATACATAGTTTGAAATCAATTATTTTGGCTAAGATTTTTTATATAGCTCTAAATATGGTGCTCTAAAAATATACTTTTTACAAATTTTACCTGAAAAAGTAAAAATACACAATTGAAATAAATAGTCATTGCATCAAAAGAAGAAATAAAAAGAGTGTACAATTGCAAAAAATAACTTATTATTTCTAACATACTTAGTGCTCTAAAAATGTATCCATAGAGTAAGTTATTCATGGAAGAACACTTAATGTGAATAAAGTTCGTCTTGATTTCCAAAGAAAATAAGAAATTCATATATCAAAACTTTATCAAGACATTAAAAGACTTCTATTTACTAGAATTTCCAAGGGCAATATAGGAAAAAAATAATTAATTCATTCTTGAAATCTGGAAAAATCACTTATTTTGGACCATAAAAAAAGCCAAAAATCACTTATTTTGGACCGGAGGGAATAATATATTAAGACATTTATCATTTCAAAAATTCATAAATTTGATTACTTTTCTAATTTAAACACATTTTTTTTAAAATATTATTTACATGATTTCTATTCATGAATTTGGATTACACGCGCCCGTAGATATTGATCCCTTTCCTTATCCCTCCCCACCTAATTATTGCTTCTTCTTTTTTTGAAAAATATTACTATATTATTTCTTTTACCCGTTAGAAAGTTTGAAAAATAATTTAGGGTTTTAGTGATACTTTTGGAAACGCAAACCCAGAACCAGTCAAAAAATTTCTTCCCAATTCAAGTAGTAAAAGTATTGTCGTCCAAAACAAATATAAAAACAATTCTAAAACCAGAACCAAAGCCAAATCAACTTCTCATCCACAGATAATCGATTCCTGAATGATTTATATGAGTAATTGATTCGAGAAATCTGTCTTCCCTTCTCTGCTTTCAGCCGTCGCTCTCGCCCCTGGTATTTGGTTCGATGTAAGTTCCTGTCTCAAGTGATTGATATTTATATTTTTGTTTATTTCCTATATATTTAAGCTTTGGCATGATTTGAGTTTTAGTCATGTCCATATTTTGTGATTCGAGTTTCTTATTCCATTATTATACCCCTCTTTATCAATTCTGTATCATATTAATTACATTATAAAAGAGAAAATTGCAATCTATCATGGTTTATTTTTGTATTATTTCTCTTTTTTTAGGATCGATATGTGTATAGTTTGCTGTCATATCAAACCGTAGTTTTCTTATTTTCTGATTCATAGGTCATGGCACTTCAATGCTTCACTTGGACTAGAGAACTCTTGGGTTCATTATTCAATATAATATGTAAAGATGAAGAAGATTTTGCAGAAACTTTCGGACGTTTGCCAGATTGTCTTATTATTGATATCCTGAGTAGACTTCCATTAGATTGCCTTGTTAGATTTCGAAGGGATTGTAGGGATTTGAGAGCTTTGATCTCATCACACTATTTTGCCACCGTACATCTCAGTAGAGCTACTAGATCACCTATGCTGCTCATACATGATTATTACAAGAGTATCAAGAACGTGCAGCAATTATATGTGTTTGGTGCTGAACATCTTTATGGGAAGAATGTGTTCAGGAAACTTCATCTCAGGCCTGAGCTTATGATCAATAATAAGCACTGGGAAAAACCCCCAACTCTTCAATGCTCTTGTCAAGGAGTTCTTCTGTTTGCTGATCCCATGTACCCTATTTATTATGCTTTGAACCCGATAACACAAGAGGAAGTAACCATAAAACATATGCCAAAACCCGGAAAATCGTGTGCTCTTTATTTTTGTCCATTAACAAGACAATTCAAACTTCTTTATGTACAAGCACAAGGGAGTTTGTGTCAGTATTTTGTATACATTTTGAAGACACAAACGTGGAGGAAAATCCATTCGTCGTCCACTTTCAACTTTTTGCCATATCGTAACTCTCACGCGGTTGTTAATGGAGCATTGCATTGGATTATGTATACTGATTTTGAAGAAGAAGGGATTCCTCCTTGTGCAAATGGAATCATGGTATATAGAATGGATAAGGAAGAACTCTCTACTATGCCTCATCCTGGAAGTGTGTGTACCTCAAAGAAAGTGCATACAACTATGACTCTTTTAGTGAAGGAAAACCATTTGTCTTTTTGTCACTTGCTTGTCTCTGAATATGCAGTGGATATATGGATCTTGGAAGACTATGAAATGAGGGCATGGAACAAAAGGTACAAGGTTAATCTCTTTGACGAGAAAATTTTTCCTTTTAGTTTGCCTTACACTCGGCCCGGGTCGGCATACATAGACGTGTATTGGTGGATAATGCTTATTAACATCCAAGGCGGTGAACTTCTCTTTTACCTGCGCGATAGAGGTTTATTTTCTTATAATTTAGATCATAAAACTGTGAAGATACTTGAATTGCCGCAACTGAAAAGGTTCTATGTTTGTAGGACTTATATAAACAGCCTACTGGCAATAGCTTAACTCTCCTCGCTTTTTATTGTTATTCTTAATCTTTCTAATTTTGGTGCTTTGTTAAGTTATCAAATACCGTTCTTAGTGGAGGTTCAATGTGTTTCTACTTTTCTTGCATTGGAATTGGAAAAACTCCAAATCTTTAGCTAATGTTAAATTCTTTACCATGCTAAATTTTAGGTGTCCTATAACCCATCCTAGTTTTCTTAATTATTCTCCATATCCTGCTGATATACTAAGTACCCTATTTTCTTTGAGCCACTTAGTTTTCATGATGTAGCATTGTTTATTTTACAATTTTATCTCAAATGTAGTTGTAATTAGTGCAAATCCGTTGTGCGTTGCACGATCCTACACTATAGTGAAATAATATTTGAAAGTATACGACTGATAAATTTTATTCTATATCATAACGGGCAATATTTATTTTGCAAAGTCTATAAATTTTTATTTTATAACAAAACAGGGGAATTATCAAAGCAATATCATATATTTTTTTTGTTTACCCTTAAAATTGGATAACAATTAAACTTATAATGTGATTTTAAGGACACGTGATTTCACCTAATACCAATTGATAAATGTAAAGATTAGTGATAGAAATTAACAACAAAGTAAAACAATCCAGTGTTGAACAGAATTCAACCCTCGTGTAAGAACGCCCTCGAGCTGATTGATGCCAGAACAAGTAAAGATAAGGCAAGCTGATGAACAAGAGAATATAAGCTAAAAGAGTGTTATATAGCTTTGATATGCGAGAAGGTAAGTTGATTACAAATGGTTGAGGCCCTCTTTATATAGTAGAGGATGTAAATGCCTAATTTTTGCCTTGTTTATATATATATATATATGTGTGTGTGTGTGTGTGTGTGTGTGTGTGGGTGTGTGTTTTTCTTATTTTTTGTATGTATAAGTTTCAAGAGTTGATTAATGGTTTGATAAATGGGGTAGGGATTGGACTAGTGTATTTAATTTAAAATTGAGCCAAAATTGGCCCAAAATTTGAGCCCATTTCGTCCAAATCCGGTCCACAAGGGGTTGCCAAGAGGAGGGTCCAAACGACGTAGTTTTGGATCAAAACTACGTCGTTTCACTAAATGAAACAAGATCAAATCTTACCCCTCCATTCCACCTTGATCCAATGGATCTCATTCACTCTTGTCCTAGGTATTTAAAGCCTCCAAAATCTGAAAATTTTCCCCATTTCCACCCATAATCCTTTTCTCTTCTTCTCTCTTATCACTCTCTCCCCCCTCTCTTCCCCTCCGCCTGTCCGCCGCCCAGCGCCGCCCGCCGGAATTCGCCACCGGCGGCGGCCAACGTCCAAACACCCCCAAATTACACCATTCTTTTCCTCTCATCACCCTCTTTCTAGATCCACAACCCAAATCCCCCAAATCTCCACCAATAATCAACAAAATCAAACCCTAGTCGCGCCGTCACCACCCTAGCCGCCGCCCACCACCCCAAATTTCGGAAATTTTACACCACCGGTTTCCTCTTGTCCCCCTCTTTCCATATCTCCAACTCAAAACCTCAAAAAACCCAACCGCCGCCGGCAGCCGCCCCTACTGCCGCCATCCCGCCGCCGCCACTGCCGCACACTTCCGCCCGTTTCTTTTCTTTAACCGGCCTCGAGCAAGGTTGTGTCGTTGATATTATTGAAACCGGACTCGGATTCGCCGGAATTTTTCGGTTTCAAGAATATCAACAATAGAAGCTTGCTCCAAAGTCGTACCACTGCCTATCGTCGTCTCCCGGATGCTCGAGTATATGGTAAAATCGCAATCCCGGCCCCGTTATTAATTTTCTGATTTTTTCTTTTTCTTTTGTTTTTTTTTAGAGTTAGTTTCTGTTTTTTTTTAATTTAATCCATTTTCTGATTATGTTTGTCTTTGTTAAATCGCTTCGGCGATATCGTGCGTTCCGTTTTATTTTAATAGCTAATTTTTGTTTTGCTCATGTTGGTTCACAATACATGTGTTGAAATTTAATTACATGTTTTAATACTTGGTTTAATTTGAATCAATAGGTTGATATTGGTGTTGTTAAAATCTGAAATTTAGATATTTTTATAATGAAATANAAGACATGTGTCCGTTCGTGTGGGAATTCAAGGGAGAGGAACCTCCAAGGGAGTCTTATGCACAAAAGGTTTGGTTTGGTGGTCGATTTTCTGATATAGACGAGATGGTAGCTGATCGTGAACGTGGGGAGGTAAGCCTCGCATACCTTGAGTGGTTTCACAACCAGGCTATCCCCGAGCAAAGGCTAGAAAGATCCATACGACATGCAGTTGATTGGGAGGAAGAGATAGGGGCCAGAGTTAGAGATACCAAAAGGGAAGTGGCACAAGAGTTCCAGTCTCGTATTGACACTTTAGAAGAAGATAAGGGAATTCTGGAGACAGCCATGGACATACAACAGGCTGATTTTGAGCGGGAAAAGGCTCAGTGGTCACGAGAGAAGCGAGCACTCCAAGCCCAAATTCAAAAGAAGAAAATAATCGTAACAGCTCAGCAGCAAGAAGAGAGAGAAGCCCAGTTCAGGGTAGTCCGTGATCACGAGCGTAGAGGTTTTGCTCAGTTAATCCAAGGTCTGAGGGATCAGATAGGGGGAGTTGAGTCAAGCAAGGAGAGCCAGAATGCGGAGTTTGAAATAGAAAGACATCACTACAAGAGTATGATCAACCGGTTGGAGGGAGAGTTACTAGAAAATAGGCGCCAGAAGGATATGGCCTTGGACCGCGAGCGTGATGCGTTGGATCTAGCTGAGACCCGTGGTCAGCAAAATTAAGAGCTGCATGTGGCTTAGGAATACGTTAAGGGAAAGATCCTCGAGGTAGCCACATATACCTCAAGAGCTTGCATGAGTTGTCAAGGAATGATGCCCGAGCGGTTTGCAGAAGTATCTTTGAACGTTGCTCGTCATATATCTGCAGACTTGGAGAGGATATACTGCAATGTTGGGGGTCAGCCGCAGGAACAAGCGCCTTGATTACATTGATGCTGGTGGATTCTATTGCAAAGATCAAAGTCTTCTTTTAGTTATCGGTCTTTTTTTTCGTTTTGTTGTTTTTGAGTCAACAAAGAGTCTTTTGGTGTTTTGAGTCTTTTGGTGTCGGGTATTCCACTACCCTGAGAACCTTAGCTTTGATCTGCTTGTTGACTTCTTCATTGATTTTCAAACTCATTTTAGACTTGAACTTTATGAGATTTTGCTTTACTGGTGGACACAGAGGATCGGTTGGCAGTTTGTGAGCCTCAATAGACGTACTTAGACCAGTCATGTCATCATACGACCAGGCGAATATGTCCTCATATTCTTTCAAAAACTCTGTATACTCTTCCTTGTTTGACGGCGATAGGTGAATGTTGATTCGTGTTTCCTTGATGTTTTATGCATCTCCCAAGTTGACAACTTCGGTCTCGTCCAGGTTGGATTTAGGCTTGTTCTCAAAATTCTCCACTTCTCTGATAATTTCCTCGGGTATCTCATCTTTTTCTGAATCAATATCCATTTGTTGCGTTGTCTCATTGCATGTCACGGTCATTGGTTCATCAAGATAGGTAATAGTAATGATGTATTGGTAAAGTAAGGAGAGATAGCAATGAATATTAAATCATAAGAAAAATCAAACATGCTTTTGATAAATTGAATAATTGTTTTGAACATCGACGATCTTGTTGGAGGAATTCAAAATGCAAAAAAGAAAAATCATTTGGTAAATAAAAACAATGAATGATGCTTATTTTAGCCTTGCTACCACGAGGCTCATCGGGCTTTGGTTGTTCTGATGGTCCAATTCTTGAGATATGCCCTTCTGCTCACAGGCTGTATGGAAGGGCCTCCCTCCCCTTCCTCCTCGAGAATGACAAAACAGTCCATATCACTGTCTTCTAAGAATAAGTTCTTTATCGCTGCAAGCGCTTCTTCTTCATCTGACCCATAAATAATGTCAGCCTGTTGGAAAGTCTGCTCTAGATGCGGTATTGGCTGCTCTAGTGGATAGTAAGGACCGCGTCATGGTGGAGACCAGTTTTTGAATTCTTCCCAGGTGTAATCATATCCCAAACCGAAGGTAGTGCCATGTTTCTTGAGTTTTATGGGCTTAGAGATTCCTTGGATATTCTTGCTGAGCCCTTTGCCTGGTTCGTACCCACTCCAATCCAGTATACTCTTGATTTTGTTATCCCACCATTTGTCTTTGTCGATACTATTGACCCGCTCGATGTGGTGGTAAGTTTCTCCACCCAGCTTCCTTCTTCCCCTGATTGCCGGAATGGTCTGGCGACTGTATATAGGGTTGCTACCATCGCCGTGATTGATCACTTCCTGGTGATTCCATTCGAACTTTACTGCCTGATGCAGCGTTGATGCTACGGCCCCAACAGCATGAATCCATGGCTGTCCTAGCAGCAAGTTGGAAGATGCCGGTACATCTATTACCTGGAAGTCGATATCAAACCAGGTTGGTCCCATCTGTAAGCATAGAATAATCTCACCAATGGTGGACCTCTGAGAACCATCAAAGGCTTTCACATTGATTGCTCTGTCTTTTATATCGTGCAGCCCTTTACCCAACTTCTTGAGTGTTACCAGTAGACATATGTTAAAATTGGAACCTCCATCGATCAGGATTCTGGTAATAAAATAATCTTCACATTGCACGGTGATGTGCAGTACCTTGTTGTGCCCTAGCCCTTTAGGTGGCAGCTCGTCCTCATGAAAGGTGATCTTGTGGCTTTCCAGAACTTGCCCTAACATAATAGCCATTTCCCCGCCAGTGATGTTACTTGGTACGTATGCTTCACTTAACACCTTTAACAGAGCATTCTTGTGTGCCTCAGAATTTTGGAGCAAAGAGACAATGGATATTTGTGCTGGCGTCTTGTTTAATTTGTCGATGACCGAATATTCCTTGGCCTGTATCATCCTCCAAAGGTCATTCGGACCTGTCTCAATGAGGGGCAGCCGATTGGAGGCCTGCTTGCTTGATTCAGCTAGGTGTTCAGGGGTATAGACCCTACCAGTTCTGGTCATACCCTATGCTGCGACAGTTTCTTCAATACTGACCTTGCCTTT